GCGTGAGCTGAGGAACATCATGGAGGATGGGAGAAAGGGGATACCCTATGCCCACTATCTCATGTTTATGATTGAGAGGGTCACTGGCTATAGATTTGAGAAAGATGGTCTTCACACCGTCTACAAAATTGAGAAGACCCAAGGGGCAGGTGCTAGCAGGGCAGTGATGTGCTCTCCATCAGTTGAGGACGTGCCTGAGTCGTCCCAATCTAGGCCTCACAAGGAAAAGAAGATGGAGAAGTTTGGGAAGTGAATCAAGGCCATCTTCACCACTTGCACCTATACAGCGAGGACTGCATATTAGGACCGATTGGAGAACCGTGAAGCCAATCGGGAGGCTAGAGAGCATGCAGGACTGCCACCTCTTTCTCTAGTTCAGTCACCGCTGAGGTTTGATGACCTCCCTTGTCTTTCTGAGATAGATTCAGAGGATGAGGAGGAGGAGCAGGAGCAGGAGCAGGAGCAGCCGGAGCTTGATCCTCACACGAGTTTGAGGTCTACCTTGCAGTCCATGAGGAGGAGCACCAGGCGTGAGCGCCACACTTTGACCACTCATCGCCAAGGGAGGGCGGTGGTGTCTTCTTCTTCCTCCGATGACGACGACGACGATGATGATGATGGTGGAGAGGAGGACATTGCAGCTGCTAGTGGAGCTGCTAGTGGGGATGATGTCGATTGGGACACCATCCAAGAGGATGAGAAGTGAGTGTTGGTCTTTCTTCTTTTCTTCTCTTTTTGGTGCTTTATTCCAAAGGGGGAGAAAATTAGAGGGGTCAACAACTTTTTCGACGCCATGGAGAGGAGGTTGCTGCAGCTAGAGTCATATTCGTATCCGTTTAAAGTAGTCTTCGTTAGGTGAGAGTTTGAGAGTCTATTAGAAACTCTATTTATGTAATAATGCTACTTATATATGTGTAGGATATGGACAAATATTAATCTATGTTGTCGCTTGTGATACAATTATGCTAGAATGTATTTTTTATATGTATCACATGTTGTGTGGTGTCTATTCTTATCTATGCTATTACAGCAAGTGCGGGAGTGCCGCACCTAGCTGTAACAGCAAAATATGTTGTGCATAAACTGTCATTCGCATCATGTTTTACATACCTGACACAGTATGCAGCACCCACAGCAACATGGATGTAGGGGGAGCCCCATCACTTTCACTAAAATATGAATCTTGGCTTCTTATGCCAATTTGAGAATTCAATTCTCTATTAAGACATTTAGGGGAGGCTCTACACGCATGGCTCAAAAAATCTCAGTATTTATGTCATATCTTTTATAAGCTCTAATTGGGTTGTTATCAATCACCAAAAAGGGGAGATTGAAAGTGCAATCAAGCCCTAATTGTGGGTTTTGGTGATAATGACCACGCCATTAGAGAACTAATGAGACTTATCAAGATGACAAGCAGGGAATTTATATTCGAGGATGCTACATGAAATGGATGAGCCCCCAATTACAAATGTTAAGGGCTTCAAACTCAAAGGAGGTTTAAATTCTTTTATATTTTGAATTTGAGTATAGGAAAAGCCGTACTATAAATGGGACACAATGCTTAAGCTAACATGTGCTACCAAGTGCTCAAACATACACATGCATCCTCAGATTCACAGCCAAGACAGCCTAAACTTTACTCTTACCCTTGCTGTCTTGACAGGTGCGGCACTACCGCACTTGAAGAGAGGCACTGCTGCAGTACGGCACTGCCGCGACTTGAGTGACTGTTGAGGCTGAGGGGGTATTTATACCCATCCTCTTCCTCACCAACGGCTATCTTCTTCCTCCTGCTTATTCTAGCACACCCAAAACAGAAAAGGAGCCCCCTCTCTCTCTTCCTCCATTAGTGACCTTGAGCTCTCAAGCAAATCCATTGATTTCCCCATCAATCCTTTAGAGAAAAGGGTCCAAAACTCGATTAGAGAGCAGCTCCATTGATTCCTCAACTCAAAAGAGCACTTGGTTCACATTTTGGCCGGTGGTTGTGTTTGTTACTCTTGGAGCTTGGCTCTTAGCCGGCTAGAGCGTCGCCTGTGGAGCTTGCCAACTTGTGTGGCGGCCCTGGGAGGTTTATAACCATCTCTTGAAGCTAGTAAACTCACCCCTCATCTCAAGAGTTAAGTCTCTTGACTTGAGAATGAGGAAGGGTTGGAAAGCCCTAAGCCATAGTGGCTAACCTCAACAACTAGAGGTAGGCAAGCCTTGGTGGCGAGCCGAACCATGGTATAAATCATTGTGTCAATTGTGCTTGATTTACATTACTTGCATTTCATATTGTTGGTTGAGGTGATTTCTAGGGTTTCTAGTCGATCTACTTGTGTGCGGTATTCCTATAACTTCTAGCTCTTGATCCGTGACTATCATACCTACAGTTGGCTGAGAAATTTCTCCAATTTAAGTTTTCGTTCACTGATTTTGAACTATGACTCGAAGTTGTCTGTAGGTGCGGCAGTGTCGTAGTCCGACAGTGCTGCCCTCTAGTGCGGTAGTGCCGCAGGGTGAATTTGATAAGAGTTTGAGTGTTTGTTTTGACAAGCCTGTTCACCCCCTCTAGGCCAACCAAAGATTCTACAACTTTTACCAGCCTCCATAGTTAATGATGTGCTTGGAACACTTCTCGGGTGAACCTGGCCAATTGCTTCCTTCGTGCAGTGGTCTACGGCCGCAATTACTGGATTGTGAGCTACATGGTTACCAGAAGCTTCATACACATGAATGGGAGCTGGATCAACTTCTTGAAGTTGGTTTTTTGAATTGACAACCATATGTTGATGCTGGTGAATTCCTTGAAGTTGCCTTGAAAGAATCCTAGATTACCTTCTTTCCCCCTTACTACTCTAGCTCCGATCGAACACTTCAGCAATATGTTGATGATGTGCAAATATTGGTGAGGTACATGCAATGGTTACTTCTTCATCCCTTCAGAAATATTGTTATTCTTGGACACAATCTAAAATGTCAGGGACACGTAGCGTTGGAGGATACAAAATGGAAGACCTTATGACGGGTAATGCATGTACCTGAAATGAATTCTACATCTGTGATTTAGGAAGGTGACCATTGAGAAGATGTTGTGTGACACTGTGATAACTTCTATGTATGTAAATCCTATGGATTCACACTAGGAGCCTCTGTGCTAGATGATGCATGACCCTATACGGACTTCTACTTACTTTCTAATGCCAAAGATTTCTGGAAATTAGTATCAAGCTATGTGATGTATCAATGGTACCGTCATTAGCAGCAATTTCCGCACAATCAACTGCAACTATCTCGGGTCGAGTATGATAGTTTTCCAAAGAATTAGTGGCTTACACACATTCTGCATGCACCATCTGACTAAAGTAAGAAAACCTCAATGTTTCATCGAAGTGGTTTAGTAAAATAGGGAAAAAAAGAGAGACATGATATTTTACCTTGCACAAGATTCAGCAAAGCCCTTCCTCTCTATCCTCTACAAATGATAATTGCTTGACTAAGTGAAATGTATCAATCTAACTATTTTCCAACTACAATACTCCTCTCTACCTCAATTTTTTCTCATATACTTGTTCATGTCACTAAGTACAGTAAAATCAGCTGGGTTTCTATTAGTAATGCCGATATCCTTTCTCACAAGCTTGTCCAAAGGATGCACCGTTTTCCCTTCACCACTAGACCAAGGTTGACTGGTACCATGCCTTGGCAATCGATGTTTTGGGTTGGGAACAGAGCTAACAAAACCCAACTACAGGGCGTTCCATCTCGCTGAGAACATTCCTAGGTTCAAGGTCTCATAGTTTCCTCTTCTGTTTATATCAACAAGCGATGTTGTCCCTTTAGACACACCTAGGATGTATCCATACCGTGTCCCACAGTTCTTCGACCAATTTGTAATATCCTACTGTAGCAATGAACCGAGCACACCTACTCGAGGGTGAGGGCACAAAGGTCTATGCAAGTTTTGCTAGACCTGATGTCGAGACAAGTCTTGCAGTGTAAGTGGAACCTTTTCAGTTAGGTGGCTTCCATATGATGTGCTGGTTGACACATTATACTCATCATGCTGTATTTGTGTTTGAAGTTCCATCTGGCACATGTTACCTCTTTGATAGTTTGTGAAGCCTCACGCTATTGATGGATCCACCCGCCTCAAAAGATGTGTTGCAGCCATAGGTTTGTTTGGGTAAAGGCCATACTTTCTAGCAATCCTTTGATCTATAGCTTACCAGTACGAGCCTCCATAGTCAATGATGTGCTTGCAACACTTCTTCCAACCTCTATAATTGATGATGTGCTTGCAACACTTCTACCAGACTCCATAGTTAATGATGTGCTTGGAACACTTCTCGGGTGAACCTAGCTAACTGCTTCCTTCGTGCAGTGGTCTATAGCCGCAATTACTAGAGGGTGAGCTGCATAGTTACTAGAAGCTTCAAACACATGAATAGGAGCTGGATCAACTTCTTGAAGTTAGTTTCTGAATTGAAAACTATATGTTGATGCTGGTGAATTCCTTGCCTTGAAAGAATCCCACATTACCTTCTTCCCCCCTTATTGCTCTAGCTCCGATCGGACACTTTGGCAATATGTTCATGATGTGCAAATATTGGTGAGGTACATGCAATGGTTACTTCTTTGTCCCTTCAGAAATATTGTTGTTCTTGGACATGATCTAAAATGCCAGGGACACAAAGCTTTGGAGGGTACAAAATGGAAGACCTTGTGATGGGTAATGCACGTACCTAAAGTGCTTTCTGCATTTGTGATTCTAGAAGGTGACCATTGACAACATTGGTGCTAGATGCTGCGTGACACTATGATAGCTTCTGTGTATGTAAATGATGTAGATTCACACTGGGTGCATCGTTGCTAGATGATGCATGACCTTGTAAGGACTTCTACTTACTTTCTGATGCCAAAGATTTATGGAAATTAGTGTCAAGCTCTATTGATGTATCAATGGGACTGTCCTTGGCTGCAATCTCCACACAATCAATTATAGCTATCTCGGGTCAAGTATGATTGTTTTCCAAAGCATTGGTGTCAGACATCAACCGTCTCTCATGCTGATTTCTAGCAAGAAGTTCAACAATGTCCATGGGGATGTCATCTATCACATTATGTTTCTCATGCATCTTCACCGTTCCCTTCTTTTTATTCTTGGGTATATTCTGCTTACAGAGGCCAGACCCATTCTAGATCTTATGTTTACCAAGAGAAACCTGTGATGATGAATAAAAGTGAATATTTCATAATATCCGGTTATCTAGAGAAACAAGAAAAAAATCAGTGTGCTTTTTCGTTGCTTGCACCAATGTAAAATAATATATCATACTAGATTGTAAAGAAAGTGTATGTCATTTGGGATTCGCTGCTTTGCTCACTTGCTATCCCAAACTAGCTATTTGTGTGTATTACACTGGAATTTCTATGCCAAGCTGCCTACAGCCCCACACACAAGTTCCAGTGGTATAAACACAAATAACTAGATCAGATAGCAGTGAGCAAACTGGTGAACTCAAATGTCACAAAAAGGTGCCAAAATTCTAGTAGTGCACACAATAGAGTATGAACAAAGTGCATAGACACAAATGTCATAAAGAGAAAAGGAAAAACAAATCATATGCTGCACAAAGGTCCCTAATTTAGATCAGAGAAACTAGGTAAAGTAGGTAATAAATGCAATAATCTATTTACATATTGTGTAGGATTTTGTTCTTTATTCATACCTTTGTCGAACATCTCTGCATAGTGCCTTCAGATTCCATTTGAGGCAAATCATGAGACCTGAGCACACTTCTCTTTATAGTATTGTTCTTAGTGTCCTCATCATGAGAAATTGTAGTCCATAGTACCTTTCCCTTTAGCAAAATCGTTGATTTTCCAGTTGAGAACCCCTGTTTCAAGTTTCTTGATTCATTTTGGCACAGGTCATCCACATTCTGCATATTTTCCTCTAGGTTGTTATTCTGTGTGTTTTCATTCCCACGCTTAGCATTGCTAGTAGATATCACCTTTCCCTAGCCTAGATCCCCAACAATAGAAGCAATTGTATCTGGATTAGGGTTTGAAATAGCAAAAGAAGATTCTTGTGTCATGGGTCCTTTTTTTGTGCTCTGATTTTCTTATTATAAGTGTTTTTCGTCTAGTTCATTAGAAGATCCACCATCAACCTTGTCTACTCCTGTGTGATTCACAATGTTCTTGGCAACTCTTGATTGTGTTTCACCCACTTTCTGATTGCTAACAGGATTGTCATTATTATTTCCTACCTCAAATGGCATTTTGCTTTTATCATCCTCACATAGATCAACAGTGTTTGCATGGTCAACTTCGACAGCGGCCCTATTCCCTTGAGCTTACCAGCCAAAATCAGCCCTACTTTTTTAGCCATGGAACAATATTTTTCTCTCACAACAAATCAGCCGCAGCAGCAATAAGTCCTATCGAACAGGGCTAGCATTTGCAGAACCACCTACCTGGTCAGAGCCTATGAGTTTTGATAACCGCCTCATCTTTTTTGGCTTTCTCTAACAAAATTTCAAATCTAAAATATCAGCCAAGTCAGTGGATTTCTTCCTGTTCTTCTTACCAATAAATCCAACGTTTCTTTTCAAAGATGCTCGGTGTGGAACCAGGTTGCAGACTTGGTTGCTTTTGTGCACAGATATTTGTTTAGAGCTTTTCTGCCTAGATGTCGGTTTATGAACATTAGGCTCATTGTAGTCATCATTAGGAACATCTTGAGCTGTTCTATTATCATTTTCATTTGGCAACACACACAAGATTTTGGACTATGTGGATTCTGTGTGCCATTTTCTTCTATGCTTGATATCATTTGAGGAACATCATCAGGTAAATCACTGACATCCATGGAGACATCATTTAGGATATTTGCCAATACATCAATATTACTAGGAGAGCTCCACAAATCTGAGTATATACTGTCGTATTAGCTTATTGTATACAAAGAACAGTACTAATTAGGAATTCACCAAGCTCAGCCAACTTCTGTCGCTAGAACACTTCTTTTCAATGAATGTGTTTGGAACATTTTCTTCAGCTAATGTGGCTAGAACATTCACTACAGTAACTGCTTTGTTGCTAGGAGAGCTACATTTTGAATTGCATTCTTGGGCACTCTTTGAAAAGGTTGATTGATCATTCCCTTGAGATGATTGTCGTGACCAAGAAAACAATCTTCTAGAATCAAAATTATTAGGCAAAGTCCAAACTATATATTGAAATAGAGCAACCATCATTAGTTCCATCTTGTTGTATTCAAAAAGATTCAGATGTAATTGTGAGGCTTGAAATTTTCACTCTATCTAGACATTTTGTGCAATTTCCATCGATGATGCTTTGTCACTGAAACTAGAAATGAGTTATTGTGGAGTTCATCACATTGTTGATGGTTAACAGAAAATCTGAAGAGAGCAAAGTTTCAGACCCTTCTTCTAAAGAAGAGCAACATTACCCCTGATAAAAGCATCAATCATCAATAAGACTAATGATATATACATACAGAAATCATCAAATGTTTGCTCTCTAAAAAAGGGTTTTATATCCAAAAGCACTTAATCAGAAGTTGTGGATAGGCAGTCTCACTCATGGATCTCATTTTATAAGTATGTAATACATAAAGAAAGAAACATTGACAGCATTTGTCCATTTCAGCTTGTGATGGGGTTGGGAAGGAATTACTAATGCTGGTGAAGGAAGTACTGCTTGTGATGGGTTTGAGATTGTGCTGCCGGTGATGAGAGCAGAGAGGATTGTGAGATTGGAGAGAGTGACGAGGATGTGGAGAGTGGGAGGGATGAATGTGCCTGCAAGAATAGGAAGTTCATGCTGATAGAGATCAAACACAAGTTTGGACATAGGCAGTTTCACTCATGGATCTCATTTTGTAAGTGTGTAATACATAAAGAAAGAAACATTTACATCATATGTCCATTTTGACTTGTGATGGGTTTGGGGAGCAATTGCTAATGTTGGTGCCTGGTGGGGGAAGTATTGCTTGTGATGGATTTAAGATTGTTGAAGTATAAGTGAATTGCCAACCTCTCCCCAGCCGCTTAAGCTTTTGAGTTGACCTAGTCGGTGCATACAACTCAATATGATATGAAAGCCAGAGGTCTCGAGTTTGAATCCTGGCCAGCACAATTAAATAAAATAAATGTTGCTCGCTCCTATTCCACCCTAAGCCTAAGGGAGCCTCCATGTGAGGGGAGTGTTGAAGTATATTTGAATTGCCCACCTCTCCCAATCAACTTAATTAAAAGCTGTTGGATGCAACTCATGTGTGTGTCACGAAATCATCATGGTTTACTGTTTCAATAGAGTTGGTGGACAATTGTCATGCTGGTTTATTTGATAAGTCATTGCGTCCAAATCAAGTATACATCATGAAATTCTCATTTCTATTTACAAAGGAGTTGGACTCTGTGCACAGTTAGGCCAGTCCATTCACATCGCCTCGATTAAACACGGTCGTCCGATTAGTTTTTAACGCCTCTCCTTCCACACCCATGTGTCTTAACCTCTTTACTCTCCTCTATGTCGCCCTCTAGTTGGACCAATGCCTCTAGAAGCCTCGTGTCAACCTTATTCCTTGAGTCCTATGCCGCACGCTCGCCTCCCCTCTACTCGGCTACTCGACATGGCTGCTAGGCAGCTATCAAATTACATTGTTTATTGTTTGAGCACAACTGACCAAAATTAATCACATGGGTTTATTTTAGCGTATATGACTTATATTCACAATTTCTCATAGTGTATAATGATCTCTACCTGCTACCCACTCATAGAAAAAACATTATTTTTTTGAACCGAGGCCTTTCCCCATTTCCATTAAAGACTAACATAAATACATCAGAGTTTAGAGTTTTCGGGCAGCAAAGATACATCAGAGTTTGATCTCACCAAAAGATAAATAGGCCAATCCACCAACTACCATATCATACATCAAAACAACTAGAAACGCCAAACAAAGCTAAACGACCATAAACCAACAGAAGGACCATAAACTTGATCGCCATCCATCGGAACGTCATATCCTACTTTGCGTTTTAATCTTCATCCACATCTGGAAGCAGCCTTGTCTTGATAGCATCATGTATGGTTTGGCAAGCAGCTTTAGAACTATCTTGAGCATAGCATTGACACCATTGATAAGCATCTCCTTGTCACCATCATTTTGAAGACATGTCCAGAATCTCAGAAGCGCATAGCCATGACAGATAATCTCAATAGGATTATTCAAAAAAATTCCATCAAAACATGCTTTGTTTTGAGTTTTCCAAATTTCCTAGTAGATGGCAGCAATCCCCACAGCAAAAAAGTTCTTGCCATTTGGGAGCCATTTTTCACACCACTTCCAACTTTGAGAAGCATTTGTCGGGATATCAGAAGCCCCTAGGCAAGTAGCAATAGCAGTATTATATGAATTCACTTAAAGACAACAAAATCATGGATTCAAACCAAGTACCTATTATAGAAAAGGTAAGGAAGAGAGAAAGGAATGTCTAGGGCAAAGGTAAATGAGTTTCGCTCTTCTTAGCATGTTTTATATCCAACCACTCAAAAAGAATGTATTATACATAAGTTAAAATAGGATTAGGTCTTGAGCTTCTGATCATGCCGCACAACTCGGACTAAAGATGGCAATGGAGCTACGACTTGAGACTCGATGGGTACTTACTCCATTGGGGATCAAATCTAGACTAAATACATCACCCATGGGCCTCTAATTGTGGAAACCTTCACCCAACGGGTATGTCGGTATTGGAACATTCCTATAGACCCCATACCCATTAACCCATGGATAAAAAATACCTAGAGGTCCAAATAAATGTCCTGGCCCAATATCAAACTAGCCCAACCCAAATAAGGCAAACCCTAGGTATTTAAGCCAATCCCTCACTCCATCCATCCATTTTCCACCCCATTCCTCGATCCCCTCCTGTTCCTAGCGGCCGCATGCAAACCGCAACGCACGCCGCTCCCCGCGTCGGCGCATCGCTCGTAGCTACCCGCAGTGGTAGGGCAGGCCACGGTCGCGGCCGTAGCTACTTGCCAGCCAGCAGCCGCTCGTCCTAGTCTTCTCAACGGACGCACGGTACATCATCCCGCCCCTAAGTTGTAACTTTTCCTTCTTCCTCCTCCCTACTTCACCTAGTCCCAGCCATTTCTCACTGCTAGAGCCAGCCGCCATGCCAAGGACCATGCAAGCGCAAGCCAGTGTCGACGTATGTTGACCATTTTCTTTCTTTTAACCTTTCCTATTACAGTTTGCAGCGTCTGATTCGCATCACTAACCGCAGCAACTATGGCCATACTATTTTAAAGGGACATCGAAGTTGAAGATGCTAACCACCTGATGGAGCCACTGGATTCAGAGGACACCAATGTCGCGCTCATAATATTGGTTGTGGAACAAGTACAGAAGTATGTTCATTGTTTTGTTTTTTTACTTTGGTTTTCTTTACTATGGTTCTAATCCTAATTGTTGGTTTCCTTTTTTTAGTTGATGAGAAGGAAAAACAAGCTACCGCCTTTTGGTCTTGCCTCCAAGATATTCAAAAAGGTCTTTATTGATGGTCATTAACATCAATTATAAACCATTAATATAATCTACATATATACTTAATTCCATCCCCAAACATAGGTCTAGGGGTTTAAACTGATAAATTTCACAAGTTTTGGTGAATCTGTGTTTGCAGGAGGATTTATTCAGAAAACCAACAAGGTGGACCCAATCATCAGATTTAATCATGTTTATCCACGACGAAAACAACTCCAGAAGACTCTAGAAGACCCCAGAAGACTCTCTACCGATGATCGAGCCAAGAGACTGACAGGGGCGCTAGCAACTCTAGAAGACTCCAAAAGACTCCCCACCGAAGATCGAGCCAAAAGGCTGATAGGGGGGGCCGGCTGGCCCCAC